GGGGGGGTGCGGTTCTCCCTGTTGGGAGACTCTTGGGGCTCCGGGCCTGTGGGCCGCTGTGTGTCTGTGGCTCCGGTCCTCCCTATGTTGCCATTGTGTCCTGGGGGGGCGGGTCTGTGGGCCCCCGTGTCCACTATTGGGCATTCTTTTGGAGAAATCTGGTGGTGGCGGGCGTGCTTGCGCGGGTGTTTGGATTCAGGTGCTTTGACAGATGCACGCTAGGTTGGGTAGTGGTGGAAGCTAGATGATTCCTTGTGCGATGTCGAATGTTTCATGGTGATATTGTGGGTGGCATTGTGTTGTGCATGTTGTTTTGTCATGGTGGTCTCTCGTCTTATCTTCTTCTCTTTTATTATTTATTTATTCTTCTTTCTTCTCTTTCTTAAAAAAAAAATAAAAATTGAGCGATGATGATAAGTTCATTGAAACACTTCACAATGTTTCTACAGTTAAACTGAGCTCATAAAAAAAAAAAAAAAGGTGTTTAGGTGTGAATTGCTAATCTACATATGTGTGTGTCTTATCTCAGTCAGCTTTATAACCTGAATCCCTCACTTCACTGCTCTTTGAATTGAGAAAGCTCCTCGGATGAGGAGCGAAACGTCTTCTGTTACAAATAAAGTCCAGTTGTTTTTGTATCGATTGTTTTTTGAATTCATCATGTCCTGGATGACTGAGAATCTTCACCAAGTCGTAGAGAGGCAGAGATCCAACAGGGTGCAGATCTGGTCTGGGATGAAGTTAGGTTGGAAGTTAGATGTGTCTGTTGAACGCTTCTATGTGCTTGGTTTGGATTTTGACCCAGCTAATCGCAGTAATGCTGTGTCTGAAGTAAAATCAGAGTTGTCAGTTTAATCGTTGCTTTTTTTAGTTGAAAATTGTGCGTAAGTGGCATTCAAGTGTAAAATCAGAGCTGTCAGATTTAATTGTTACTTCTTTTAGTTAAAAACTGTGCGCAAGTGGCGTTAAAGTCTTTTCTTAGTGAGCTAAGTGGCGAAGCTACAAGCCAACTACAGCCGGCTTGCCGTAGTGTTGCCGTATTCTGATGCATGCACAAAACGCTGTGTTCAGTCAAAAGTTGTTTATTTTATTTTTTTCCATCGAAAGTTAAAGTAAGCGTTGGTCAGCTTTAGAGAAACCTGCTCTCTGATCTGTGAAAAGAACGCTGTGTTGTGTGAGTTTATTGCCAGACAATCTGGTCAAAGCCACAGAGTCATTTTGTGTCAGCTCTCCATTAAAGCAGAAGGAGACACCAACTAGAGGGTTGGAGGGTGAAGTGTTTCAGTGTAAAATGCTGCTCTGTTGCTTTTTGTAAGGATGTTACTTTTCTGTGGCCCGGTGTGTCTGTTTCCCTCGT